ACGTGTTATCTAAGAAAGTAGGTGGTCGGATAACTACAGAGCCTTTGGAGCATTAGGATGCGTATTGACAACACAGGACCCCGGGCAATTACAGGCCTCATCTTCCTGCCTGACAAACAGCCTGCTTCATTATGAGCTTTTAGATGACAACCTGCCTTAGCCTTTGCCATAGGATCTGCACTGCTATTGTAGAAAATTAAATGGATGAGAGGTTTTTTTTTAATATATCGGAATTGCTTAAGCGAAATGTTCCTCCTAGGTCGTCCTTTTGAAGCTTCCATTAGTGGATGTAGTGAATGGCAGTTGAGGAAAGGAGATGCAAAGAAGGAGGAATATGTAATGCACTACCTTCTGGGGAAAAAAACAGTTACAGTGGGAGTTGAAATAGTGTGAAGTATATGACAATTGCTAGAAAATAATGAGATTCTCTTTTCAGCCAAACTATGTAAAAAGTTGTGGTTATTCATAATTGCTTTTTCCCCTTCTGTCAGGAACTATTCTTGGCAGCATGTTATACTGGACGCCTTGATCAAATTCCTTTTTGAAATGGTAAATCAATATTTAAATGTGAATATTTAGCTTTAATGGAAAAACACTTCTTAATAATCAGAATTTTCACCCAGTCAGTGATCCTGTTTCTGTTTGAGTTGCACTCAAATGGTAAGTAAGTGCAACTTAAAGATTAGTCTACACTGAAACATTTGGAACGATTTTAAATCTCCCCATGCTTTGAAGCATTCACACAAAGGGCTCGTCCCTGTAGGATGGTTCCTGGCATCTGGGTTGCACTGGGAATAAAAGTCTAGTATCTCTCTGCAAGGCTCCCATTGAAGTCCGTCTGTCCGTGGTGCTGAAACACCCTCTCCTGCCCCGACAGTGTGCTGTCCAGGGTGCTGAAACATGTCCAGCAGTCTGTTTGCTGGAGGGATGCACGTGTCGAAATAAACCACAGACTGTTGACCTCAATGTCCAGATTCTCTTCGCTTTTGTTCCGGTTGTCATGGAGCGCATCCTCTGACGGAGATGTTTTCTATGTTAGATGTGCCTCTGTTGAGTCCACTCTGTCCGTCCAATGACAGACTGAACAACATTCCGGTCAGGTCCTAACTATCCATCTTCACATTCATTCATCAGTATGTTTATTTATTTCCCTCATTTTCATAAGAATTGTAGGTCAGGCCCGTGAGCAAATGAGCTCCAATTAGTGGTGACGGTTTACTCTGCCATGAGACGACTCATTATGTTGGCATGGTTACAAAGCGGGTGCCAGCCTTGTGGATGTAATGGTGATATATGGATGTTGTATATACAATATTATCAATTAATTTAATATGGCCCATCTACAGAGGTTCATATATTATATTATAGTAGCTTGGCTTCTTCTTTTTGCCCAAACCCTTATTGAGGTTGGTTGTGTGCAAAGGTAACTGGCGCAGCAAAGTATTTGTATGGGTTCAGTGAGCATCAGGTCTACGTGATATGATCAGAAAGCCCAGACTGTGATTCTCTTGGCCACGTAGATAATATCAGTCGAGAGGTGTGAAGGAGAAAACGGCAGAAAAAAGAAAACTGCTGACAGACGTTGTTTGCATCGGACGACGTGTTGCTGTGTGTTTCCAGGGAGAAGGGCTGCTGAAACTTACAGAATGCAGAGAGGCTTCTGTGAGAAAATAGTCTGGATACAAATGTACAAAGGGTCGGGATCTGTTTACAGAAGATACAAGTCATTAGGTGGATGGAAAGCATGAGAAGACAGGGTTTAAAGCAGGGGAAACAAGTTCATTTAATAAACGAGGGAACAAAATAGGGGTGGGAGATAGATGAGATGCAGAGACATTAATGTTAGGAGCCCTCTCATTATTAGAATATTGATTCATCCATGGAAACAGGCAGTGATATCATGATCCATGATAGCTGATGTTCAAATGCCACAAACAACAAGGATTCTTTCAGTAATCTATTATCAGTAAAAGTCACCAAATATATGCTAAAGCAATGCAGTGGTTGCCGTTTCTTCAATACTGAACATGTTGCTATGTTTAGCAACTCCTGTGATGCTATTAATGATGAAAGTGGAATGAATGTTAGATAGATATAAAAATAATGATGCTGATAAGGAGGATTGACAAACTAAACAACAATATGAAATAAAACAGGTATTGGGAATGTCATTAATACTGAATATATCCATATTTCCATGTGATGCAATCAAGCTTCATACTTTCCAGCTTAAAGTTGTAGCTTTGAAAGATACATCTCAGTACCAAGACGTGTTCTGTGTATCAGAATTTTAGACCGCAACAAATGATGACATCAACATGAGAACATATGAAATGATAAATGCTTTACCCGATCTATAACTTTATTTTTTAAATTTCTAACTATTGTAAAAAGCAAATATTACTTTGAAATTATTGTCTAACACTATTCCATAGGGGTTAAATCCCCCGCAAGCCCCTTTTGACACCGACAACTCAAATAAAAAGCCTCAGTGTCTTTGGACAAGCAAGATATAAAATGAAATGTAATGCCGTGGAATGACAAGATGGTTCCTGCTGCGTGTGAGCTAATGAAACCATTACCCACCGTTGCAGCAAGCACCACTGGGCCGTGTTGGTGCTAATTAACATCCTCCTACTTTCATCTCAGATCTGATTCTCATCTTGGACTTTACATTCAACGTGTAAAAAAACCCTCCTGGGTCAGACCTCAGAAGCTGTGGGAGACTTATGTAGGAGTTCTCCAGGTTCCAGCGAGTCTCCATCTCGTTCTTCCTCGTGCGATCAAAGCTGCGGGCCGTCTCTCTTTGAAACGTACAATTTGGGCAATTATAAAAGGAACGTGGACGTTTTGGGGCTGATTAGACTGGAACACTGTGCTCAAATAAAGCTGTGATGACAGCACATATCTGTATCCTGTGGTAAAATTCTCCTCTTCACTCCTACCTAAGAATAGTACTTTGACTACTTACATGTTGAGTCAAAAGCAATTATGAGACTTAAGGTATAGTTTGGTCATTGCTCCCTGATCCCAATAATTTAGTTTTTATACTTGTTAATAACCAAACATGCTCCTACCACGTGCACAACACAACGGGTAAACATATAGGATAATTAATGGCCTCTTAGAGATGTACACAGAAATGGAACTATGGGACATTTACCAACCTGTTAATTATGATTGCGACAGCAGGAATTATGGACACCAGCTATCACTTTGTGTCGACCTTCAAAGGACTCCGTTGCTACGGCTTCTGAAAAGCTGTAGGAGGAAGACCAACACGGCGCAGATGAACTCATCTGCTAACTCACCCCAACAGACACGCAGCCACATGAATGAGCAAGGTCGCACAGACCAGCAAAACAGGGTAACAGAACTAGAATGACATGGCGAGAACCGCAAATCTGACACATCCCCAGAGTTAAACATTACCATATGAAGAGAATGAGTCACTTCCGGTAGCTGAGGAAAGAAGTTGCACCGTGGAGCAACTCTTTTGTGAGTGGGTTGCCGCTTTGTTACTCTTGTGCGTGTAAAGGTCACAATTTATAATTGCCCAGAAGATATTATATTTTTTACCTCCATGTCTCCAGTTGGCATTAATGTGCCGAGAAAGAAAGGGAAGAAGAAGATCACACATTAGCAAACATGGATACAAACAAAGCAGGGTCCACAATAGTCCCAGAATCTGCTTTAAAATGTTTTTTATGAGAGAGACTATGTATTGTATACCACATATTTGTTAAGCACAATTGTTTTGGCGAATAATTCGCAATGTTGACAGAAACCTTCCCTGTTTCCCTTAAAGCATTTTGACGGTTGTCCAAATAATTGCAAATGAACCGATGGATCGTGTTTTTTTTACCTTTTCAAACACATTCCACCACCCACTGATCATGTCCTTCACTTACACGTGGAACATGTGTGCAACATTACCGGGACAATAAAATGGTTGATTGTTATTACAACAAATGTGTGCATTGACACACATTGATGGAAATAATACACAACGTTGGATCGCTGGTGCCAGAGGAAGTCGGCCAAGTCGTGGGTTTTCATGGCAAGCTTTATAAGAGCAGCTATTGAGGTTGTTAATTCAGTAATAGTTATATAGTTATACTCATCTATGCAATAAGGAAAATACAATATATATATAATGGGAAATATATATGAATTATTAAATAAATGAAATAAAGGTAGTATGGATTGTTTGTGTTTGTGAATATGATTTCAGTTAATAAATGTGATATTTTGTACCAAAAGAAATTAGAAATCAATAATGTTACGTATTGTCCTGCTACATCTGCACCCAGAGAGTAAAACTGTGAATATTTAACGAGTCAAGGATGATGTTTTTTTTCTTTGAACTCTTTTTCAGTGAGGCTTATCGTGTAAATTAAAAAGTATGAAGATCCATGATTACAGCAGACTTCAGCACCAAATAAAAATAATCAGTAGTTTTGACTTCTCAAAAGGCCTTTTTATATAATGTAAACAGACGTTATGTCCATTAATTTACGCTCTACTTTTAATAAACTATAAACTATAGCACTGGGTGTTATTAACAATACAATTAAAATAAGCTATAACAGGGTGGTTTTTAACTGCTTCTATAGTTATCGAGGGAAGCGAAAGTATGAATAGAAGCAGCACAAACCTTTGAATTTGAGCCAATGTTTGGTTTATGTGGATTTTGTGAGTTTAAGATTATTTATATCACAGAGCTTTCTGTTCCATTTCTAAACTCTCTCTCCCATTTCTAAACGGAGATATAACCTGTGCTAACCTTTCCCTTCTACTCTTAATAGTATTTAAGAGTAAGTAAAACATGAGATTTACATATCAATGTAATAGTCAAGGAAGGTTCTACCATATATATGACATTACAATTTACCACCACACAGAGTTCTTTTATGAACATCGCTGAGCTCAGTGGGTTAAGCAGCATCTTGAGCCGTGGCAAGCACTCAAGTCCTTTGTCCTTTTGTGTCTCTCAACAGGGACACACATCTCCGACCAGACACGTGTGTGCGTGTCGGTGAGTTTTTGTGGGAGACCCCTGCTGTAAGACCACAGCCTCCCGTCCACCGGTCAGCATTCAGAGATTGTAAGTACACATTTGACCTTCTGTTTTCTCTGAGGCTTTCTGACCAAAGCTGTACCCTCTTCCCAAGATCATTCACATGCGCGAAAATGATCAGTCAATCACGCAAAGAAAAGATTTCAAACTCCTACTTCTCAGTTGGATCTAACAAAAGGATATGAAACGTAATCTTACAAGAAGGGTATGCTAATGTAAGCCATAGGGGAAACGCTACAGAATTAAATTGTGCTTAAAGGGATAACCTCTATTCGTTTTTGCTGGCTGATTACTTTGCTTTAATAGATCGTTTAAAATAAGTCACGCTTAATTATTCCCCCTAACCTTGTCGGCCTGTCTGTCATTCTGAGGAAACAGACGCTATATCCTGCTAGAAGTTGTTAACTCTGTCGCTGAGAAGCCTCTGTTGTGATATTGCAGTCAAGACATGATCATACCAAATAGCAGCTATCTATGTGTGTGTGAGTGTGTGTGTGTGTGTGTGTGTGTGTGTGTGTGTGTGTGTGTGTGTGTGTGTGTGTGTGTGTGTGTGTGTGTGTCCTCTGCAGCTTTTGCTCATATCAGCAGTTTTGTACTGATTCCATGCCAGTGAGCAGAAGCTGATGAGTGGTGGGTTCTCTGTTACAGCCAGGTACATCAACCAATAGCTATTTGCCATCACAGGAAGTGTGTGAGGGAGTTTAATGCAGCAGAGGAAATGACTGCAGTAAATTCATGAGATTTGCTTCAGTCATAAGCAACGCGGTGAAAATGTAATGTTTATGCAATTAATATGCTATATAGCATAATTGAAATTATTACCGGTTCTTCGCTGAGAGAAATAGATCATTTTGGTGCTACTTTGTAGCACAGTGTACTAAATGCTGTATTTCTAAAAGGACATATTCCTCAACAAATGGAAGCTTTTTTACATTTGGATATAAAAGACAACGTTCACACGCATCAAAAACTTGTTTATCACCGCAGAGCTTCAGAATTATGATCAATTCACCGGCGCACTTATAGTCTCAGAGAGGCGGACACGTTTCTTTTTAAGACCCCATCAATGCTGAATTACTGCCCTGTATTTCATCCCCTTACATTTCAACGAATTCATTTGGATCAGCATGAGGGAAAACTGAAATGAAAAAGCCTCCTGTGTGTTTTAAATTTCAGCTGAGAGTGGGTAGCATGCTGAGCAACAACACATTTTGGAGATCTTAAGAAAACCATCCTCCGAAAATGTAAAAAAATAACATTCACAGTCATGGCTCAATGTGTAGAAAATCATTTTGTCTTTTTGTGATTTTAGTTATCAAGCCCATCAAGTTAGCGTTAACAGTTAATCATGTATCCGGCGAACAGAAAAACTGCCAACAGTATCTTCAGACTGACAAAATCTTCATTTATAATGTTGACATTTGCATTCTGAATCAACATTTTAATGCTGCAGAACGTTATATTCCTAATGCACAGTTGCAGCTAAAGATTAGGATACACTAATAGTGTTGGTAATATTCTCATGGTAGAATTATATTCCAGGATTCTTCCTGATTTACTGTCATGTCAACAACTACACAGTATTTTAAAGTTTAAACCCAGAAGCGACAGAAAATACCACACGTTTCCAATTGGCCAACACCCTAGAAATTGGCCAGGTGATTGGTTTTATTCATTCTACGCCCAAACTAAAGGCTAAAACTACACATTTGGCAAGTGCGCCTTGATTTGCGCAGTGATGTTTCGTTTCAGCATTGTTCCTCATTAACATGCCTGAATTACATGCTAATATGCTGATGTTTATTGGGTTTCATGTTGACTATATTTACCATCTTAGTTTAATTGGTCGATTAGATTAGGTTGCTTTATTTGTACACGTTGGTAGACTTGGTTTGCAGTAGGAGGCGACGCATCTAATAGAATCCACACCGACAACAAGAAAAATATGGTGAAAGTACCCAAGGCTGCAAATCAGTAAATCACAAAGTAAAATCAATCAATTGATTAATAAAGTAAGTAAAATAAATACACAAGCGTTGCTTCTATAGCATCTGTGTACTGTTGCTATAGCTTGTTCACCTGCGTTATGGCCGTATTTACAGAGCTTTGTTCTGCACGTGGCCCAATGTTCCTACATCTAGAAGGAAGAAGCTGAAACTCAGTGTACAAAGGTGCAAGTAGTCCTTTTAGGATGGAGCCAGTTATTGGTCCAGTCTGGACAAAAGTTGTGGATTTAAATGAGAATCAAACACGATGGACATTTTTCTCTCGCTCCATAGATTCATAATGTTGCTTCTCCCAAAGAAAGTGCCACCTCTAAATATCACACTGCCGCTGGAGTGCCTGGTGTGCCAGGGAGTCATAAATAAAATAAACCTCTGATCCGCCAGGGGGCCTTTAAACATCTACTGAAGCATATGGAGGATATTGTTCTGTGAGAAAGGGAGTAGTGGACTTGATTTTTCACCTGCTGCTCTACGTCTGTTGCATACGAGGCTTTTGCTTGAAGTTTCCTGTGTGATCTGTTGCCCGGCCGCTGCACATGAACACATGTTGGTGAAAACAATTACCTCAGATTAAAGGATATGATCCTGGTCTGTGTCTGAGATGAAGATAATCCACTTTATTTCTTCCTAAATGATGTGTAGGTTTTTAGTGGTTCAAGGATAAATGTTGGATTTAATGGGAAAAAAAATAGAATCCGATTTACACAATAGATAATGTTCCTACACATGTCTTACACGCTTTTCTGTCAAGCGCTTAGTGTTGGATGCTGGATGCTTGTGCTGTTGTGAATATTGTCCTATAAATTTGTGATCTAGCAGAAAAAAAAGATTCAGTTTCATAAGCAGCAAACTATCCAGGCCCCTATTGAACCATGTGCACCGCCCCGAGGTTAAAGTCCGGCTCAGATGCATTTGCCAACGGTTTTCATCAAAGCTACACAGGCTTTAATAGAGTGAGTCTCTAAATCAGCAATCTCTTTTTATTAAGAGTTTTCTTTCCCACATTGGCTCCGTTACCGATACGGGACCCGACCCGATTCAATGGTTGTATCGATCAAATTGATAGAATGTCTGCTGATCTCACTATTTGACAATTTGAGCTCTGCTTCAGGACCACGATGCTCTTCCCTGTTGCACCGACTACAGACACCCTGTTCAAAGCCACCAGTCAGACAGACCCATCAAAGGCTTGGCTGGATATCCTTGTGGGGAAACATTTTACAGTTAAAAACCGGCAGGTTGATCCTCCACCTCTGTTAGATTCCTCTCATCTAGAAACCGTGACCCTCGTCTCGCTTCATCAATGACCCTCTCCGTTCATCTCCCACACTGAAGATTTACTCACCCTTTCTTCAACTGCCCCCCTTCTACCTCTCACTCCCTCGGCTTCCTGTATTCAGTGCTTACAACTTGTTTTCTGTCTCTTGCTCCTTGTCGGTAAATGTTCTGTTACAGCAGCCATCTGGATTTCCTTATCTGTGGCCCCTGGAGCCGAGAGGCTCCGAGGTCGTTCTTTACCTGCTTTACCTGCTGCCATAGAGAGATTCCAGCTTCTTTAGGGGAGTTGGCACAGCTGTGCTTATGCCAACGTGATGATATCAAGAATGGTGGTAAATGTTGAGGCAGACAAGGCTGTTACTAATCACTGTGACATTTCAAACCAGCCAATCACAGGCATTCTCCCTTCATAGTGGGCTCTCCATGCGTGGGGATGCTGCTTACTGGTGTGTGTGCGTGCGTGTGCGCGTCTTACAAGTGTACATCAGTGTGTGTGTGTGTGTGTGTGTGTGTGTCTGAGATCATCTCCAGACTTAACATGGTGCTCGTCTGCTGTCACAACACTGTCTGGCAATGAGCTGGGTGACACAGCACTGCAATTAATCACAGAGAAGGACCACTAATGAAGTCATTATGTATTATGAGAGTTTCCTCTTGACAACCACTTTCCCCACTAAAGAAATGACTGATACAGGAATACATGTAAAAGCCTTAAAAGGATACAGCGGTAATATATTGAGTTTGATAAGTGAAATGTAGATAAGTAAAATGTATATCTGAACAAAAGTTCGGACTTTTGTTCATTAAATACCACTGTTATTCATTTTTGTCTCACTCATAAAATATCTATATTGTGTTTTGTAATCCTGCCTCAGCCTTCAACATTTCCAGGATATTTATATGTAAATGCAGCTCCGCTTATCAAAATTCCACTGTAAAACCTCTTCATTTGATGTCTTACGCAGTTTTGTAGAATACAAATGCAGCAACTGTTGGCCAATGTAAAATATATAAAGCACTGCAGTTTCCATGTCACTGTGACCTGCCAAACGCTGTTTGTGGCTACAAAATCCACTCAAATGAGCCACTCAACAGCTGGCAGGGACCCCCGCACAAACATTCACACTTCCATATGAATGTAGGTGCACATTTAGACTGAGAGGGCAAGCGAGAGAGCGAGAGAGAGCGAGAGATGCGGAGTGGAGAAACAAACACAAAATCAATCCCAATTACCATTTGTAGCATACAAAGATACAAATAAGGGGTTGATATCAGAAGGGATTTCCAAACCATCCAAAACACAATCATATATTTATACCTCCTTTCAATCAAAACAATTGCATCATTGGTGAGACAAATACACACACCATCTGCATGGTGCCATTCTTTCATCACTATGCATACGTGTGCACATCAGTATATGCTCGTATGCGTGTGCTGACTGAGAGCAGCTTAATAAATAAACCGCACTCTACATCCTTTATCATCATTGAGACGGGCAGCAAACGGAGGATGTCGGTGGAGCGCTACATGTAGATATAGTGTCGGCGGTTTGTAAACGCTGTCGTCATCCATGGGCCCTCAGGCTCACAGCGGCTGTAGAGATGCTACTTGGCTCCTTGCTCAATGTTGCTATGGTGATCACTGACTGGAGGATTATGTAAATCATAACTTACTGAGTCAACAGGTATTTTATTATGTTTTTTGAAAAGAATGATAAACTGCCTGGAAGTCTCTGCCCCA